TTGGAAAGGATATCCTCACTTTTAGCTCCCTTGTTGTTAGGTGAGTTAACTGAGGCCCAGAGGGGTAAAATGTCTTACCTTAAGGTTATATGACTAGTAAATAGCAGAGCTGGGATTTGAATTCCACATCTTCTGACTACAAATACAAGCATCTTTCTACTTCACAGTGTCACTTCTACCCCCAATATTCTACTCAGGTTTGCAGGGGATAGGATGAATATAAAACTGCAAATGTGTGCTGACTAGGGGACTATATACTGTGAGACTAACATTGTGCCTTTTTAAATCATCCTACATCTTACTTGACTTCCCTAGTTTGTGCCATATGCATATTTGATAAACTTAAGCAATAGATAGAGTCAGGAGGACTTAAGTTCAAATCCAGCCTTAGATACTTACTAGCTCTGTGTGACCTTGGGCAAATCACTTAACCTTTGTTTGCCTCAGTTTCCTGAGTTGTAAAATTAGTATAGTAATAGTATCTACTTCCTAGAATTATTGTGTGGATCAAATGAGATATTTGTAAAGCACTTAGCACAGTGTCAGAAAGTCATGACCCCCCAAAAAAAGCCTACATATAATATTTCAAGAAATCATAAGACAAAAATGCCTAAATCTCTTAGAACCAGGGACAAAGTCCTAAAAGAAGCCTCCAAATGAAAACTCCCAGTAACATTTTAGCCAAAATCTAGAGCTTCCAGGTCAAAATAAAAATATTGCAATCATTCAGAATGAAAAAACTCAAGGACCCAAGAGCTGCAGTCAGGATCACACATAATTTAGCAGCTACCACTTTAAAGGAACAGTGAGCTTGGAATACCATATTCCAGAATGGCAAAGGGTATTGGTTTACAATCAAGAATGATTTACCTAGCAAAATTAAATATGATTTTATAGGGGAGGAATTGGATCTTTAATGAGATAAAGGACATTTCCAAGCATTCTTGATGAAAAGACCAGAGCTGAGTAGAAACTTTGAAATATAAACACAGGAGTCAAGAGTAAAAGTAAAAAAGAACAAGTAGTCATAAAACCAAACAAATTGAACTGTTTATATTGTAATATGAGATGATATGTGTATCTTCTCAGAGCTTTATCATCATCAGGGATCATAGAGGGAGTCTAATTAGAGAGACTGGGAGTAGTTTTTCTATGTTTGATGATCTTAAAATAAGAATGGAAAAAGGAAGAGAAAGATAGGAAAATTATCTCACATGGTCAGTGTTAAGCAAAAAGAAGTCTCTACAAACAGTGAAGGAAGGAGTAAGGTGGGAAGAACTGGAGACACTTGACTCTCACTTTCATCTGAGCTGATCAGAGGGATACACACACACAGAGTTGGGGAAGACATGCATTTCACTCAATTGGGAAATGAGAGAAAGAAAGAAGGAGCAGGGAGCATAAGAGGCAGAGTAGATTAAGGAAGGGATCCATTTTAAGTGAAACAAACTCTTAAGGAGTATAGATTTCAAATATCTTAAAAGAAAAGAAAGCAAGGATAAGAACCTGGTATTGGTCTCTGGATAATGGAGAGAGGAGCAGGAGAGCACTGGTGCCGAGTTCACTCCTTCCATCTTACCACACTCTTCCTTATAAAGCTAGGGATGGAAATTATAGAGTATAAGAGAATATCGTGGAAGGAAATATACAATCAGTAATCATAACTATGAATGTAGATAGGATGAACTCACCCACAAAATGAAAGAGGATAGCAGAAGGGATTAGAAAGCAGAATCCAACAATATGTTGTTTATAAGAAATAAGCTTTTTTTGTTGTTTTTTTTTTTTGTAGAAATAAGCTTTAAATGGAAACGTGTACACAGAGTTAAAACAAAGGACTGAAGCAGAATCTTTTATGCTGCACTAAAGTTAAAGAGGTGGAGGTAGCAATCATGATCTCAAACACAGTGACAGCAAAAAGAGATAAACAGGGAAACTACATTTTGCTGAAAAGTCCCATAAACAGTGAATTAATACTAAAATTATATGTGCCTAATGGCATAGACTCTAAATACTTAAAGGAAATATTAAATGAATTACAGGGAGAAGTAGACAGTAAAAACTATAATAGCGAGTGGCCTCAATTTTCCCCTCTCAGACTTAGAAAAATTTAACCAAAAGATCAAAAAGAAATGGACACAAATAATATTTTAGTAAAATTAGATATGCCTCTGGTAATTATTGAAGGAGAACAGAAAGAAGTATATATTTTTAAAGTGAAGGTTGTTAAATGAAGTTAAATAAAGGCTCCTTGTACCTTCAGAAAAATCGACCGTATATTAAGTCATAAAACCCTCACGAAGACAGAAACATAGAAATATTAAACACATCTTTTATGGACCACAATGCAGTAAAAATTCAGTAAAGGGCCACTAAAGCAACAATTGAAAATTAATTGGAGACAAAGAATTTAATAAAGAATGTGTGTCAAAGAACAGATATTAGAAACAATAGATAATTTCATTAAAGATACTGACAATGAGAGAAGGTAAAAACGTTTTGGAGATGCAGCCAAAAGAAAATTAATATCTTTAAAAACTTTTATCAGTAAAAGAGAGAAAAAGCAGATCGATGAATTGAGCATGCTACTTTAAAAATTTTGGAAAATGAACAAATTAACTCCCCCCCTCAATTAAACACCAAAAAATAAATCCTCTTAAAGGAGAGATTAACAAAATTGAAAGCAAAAATCCCATTGACTTAGTAAAACTAGAAGCTCTTTTTGGAGGGGGAGGTGGGAAATGAAATATATAAACCATTAACTAAATTTTCAAAAAAGAGAGTACAACAGTAACAGCAACATTGTGCAATGATCAACTTTGATAGATTTAGCTCTTCTCAGCAACATAATGATCTAAGACAATTCCAAAAGACTCAAGATGGAAAATACTATCCACATCCAGAGAAAGAACTATGTAGTCTGAATGCAGATCAAAGCATGCTATCTTCTCTTTTTTTTTCTCATGGTTTTTCTCTTTTGTTCTGATTGTTCTTTCACAACATGACTGTTGTGGAAATATGTTTAATATGATTGCACACATATAGCCTATATCAGATTGCTTGACATCTTGGGGAGGGGGAAAGGAGAGAGAGACAGAGAAAAAAAAATTGGAACTAAAAATTTTACAAAAGTGAATGTTGAAAACTATCTTTACATGTAATTGGAAAAAATAAAATACTATTGAGTGGAAAAAAAAACAAAAAAGAGAGTACAAAACAAATTACCTGTATATAAAAAAATGAAAAAGGTGAATTCATAGCCAATGAAGAAATAAAAGAAAATATTTTGAACTGTTTTGTTTAGTTGCATTTCAATAACACTGATAATTTAAATGGAATAGCCAAATATTTACACACATGTAAAATGTCTAGATTAACAGAATAAGAAATAAAGGACTTATATAACCACATCTTAGAAAAAGAAATTGAACAAGTTGTAAATGAACTCAAAAATGAAAAAAAAAATTCTAGGATCAGATGATTTACAAGCAAATTCTACAAAATATTTAAAGCACAATTGATTCAAATTGTACATAAAACTGTTGGAAAAAAATAGAAGAGTAGGGGTCCTACCAAATGTTTTCTGATACAAATCTGATTTTGAGACACTATGACCAGGATGAATTTATAACAGGAATGCGGGGTTGGTTAAATATTAGGAAAACTATGAATAGAGTAGATCAACAAAAACAATACGATTAAATCACAGAGGCAGAAAAATCTTTTGAGAGGATAGAATACCCATTCCTGTTACACATCCCCACAACCCCCCCCCCCCACACACAGTAGAAAGCACAGGAAATAAATGGATCTTTCCTTAATATGTTAAATGTGATGAGCAGTAATTATCTAAAACCAAGGGCGATTGAGTCTCCTAGGTGCCGTATTGCCTACTTTTCTAAATGATGATATTTTGATCTTTTTGTTTAACATGTTAATCTTCTTGTGTCATGATACAGTTGCTAACTTTTCCTATACTATGAAAAATTATGTGTTAAAAGTGGGCACCTTTGTTTTCTACCTGTTTTTTTTTAGTTGAAATGTGTCTAATGTATTTTCATTGTATTTAATATTGAGTCTTGGTCTGAAGAAGAAACTTGTTATTGGGTTGAGGAAACATTTTTTAAGTCTTGGTTTCTTAATTCTTTTTTTAATTGTCCTTTTAATATTAAGAACTTGATAAACATTAACAAAAACATAAAACAGGAAAGAGGATTGTATATCAAAACTATGAATCTCTATTATGTATAGCTTGTGTTTTTTAAAGTATATATTACATTTTATATAGTAGTTTCAAAGCTTTCATCCTCTGAAGTCTTCTGTGATTATTTTAAACATTTCACTGGCATGCCAACTCCCCTCCTCCCCCAACACTGCCTCCAAAAAAGGCCCTCCTTTATAACAAATAAGCACAATCAAGCAAGACATCCAACTATTCCCTATGTCTGAAAAGAGATGTCTCATTCTATACCTCTAGGCTATCACCTATCTGTTAAGAGGTAGGCCCATGATTCATCTTTGTTCTTCTGTAGTAATGGTCTTTTCACTGATCAGAGTTCTTAAATTTTCAAAATTGTTTTCCTTTACAACATTATAGTCATTGTTTATGTTGTTCTTCTGGATCTGTTCACTTTTTTTCTAATTCATAAAGTTGTCCCAGGTTTCTCTGAATCCATCCCTTTTATCATTTCTTATGGTATAATAATATGCTATTACAGTAACCATTCCTTTTCTTTGGAATGTCTTTTATAATAAATGGAGGTTGGATTTTATCAAAGACATTTTCTGCTTCTATTGCTGTCGTACTTCGTGTTTTTAAAAGTGGGCTCTTTTCGGTTAGACTGCTAACCATGAAAAATGTGGGGAAGATGGAAAAAGGTAATTAGTTCTGTTTATTAAGCTTAGTTCTGACCATAAAATACTTGTTATTTCTAAAGCTGTAGCTTTCTAAAGCTAACAGCTTTTTTTCCCCTTGAATTTTTTTTTTTTTGACATTTCAGAGGTTCAGAGGAGCTCGGAAGAAATTGAGACAGAAACAGAAACAGAAGAGGAAGAAGCCTTTTGGAGTACAAGGATCTTACCTGTCTTACATGAATTAGAAAAGGGTAGGAAGCATTAAATTTTTTTTTTTACGTACCATATTTGTCAAAGGGATCTCAGAAAAGAAAATTGTTTGTGTCCTCCCCATTACCATTATATTTTTTAATACACTGTGGCCATCAACCTATACTTGTGCCTAACTTCGATACCTCACCATAGTGTGGAGGTGACCCCACGTTCTCAGAATGCATTCCAGCAAAATGCAAGTTCTCAAAGGTCCGACCAAGCTGGAAATGCCATGAATATGAACCTGTTGACAGATTTCATCTTTTTTTCTTTTCTTTTCTTTTTTTTTTTTTAAGGCAGTTGGGGTTAAGTGACTTGCCCAGGGTCACACAGCTAGTAGGTGTCAGAGTGTCTGAGGCCAGATTTGAACTCAGGGCCTCCTGACTTCAGAGCTGGTGTTCTATCCTCTGCACCACCTAGCTGCCCTCTTCTTTTTTTTTGGCGAGGCGATTGAGGTTAAGTGATTTGCCCAGAGTCACAGAGCTAGTGAGTGTTATGTGTCTGAGGCCGGATTTGAACTCAGGTCCTCCTGACTCCAGAGCCAGTGCTCTATCCATTGTAGTACCTAACTGCCCTGTAAATTAAATTCTTGGTAAATAAAAGCTTATTTTAATTATACTAAGAGGGTCTACTATTTAAAAGATTCCTGGGGTGAATCATTTTGTAAAAAGCAAATAACCATTTCCCACTGTGAGTAAAAGTCCTTTAATTTGTTGTTTTTGTAAATTAAGATTTTCATATTTTAAATTTTCTTACAGTTGGCCATGCTATGATGCCTCACACCGCCATATTCCATATCATAAAAGGGCATTTAAATGTATTTAGCTCTTTGCTCTTTGGATTTGTTTTAATTTTTAAAAAATAAAACCATATGTCAAATAGAGAGAAGATTTAAAGTGATTTTTTAAAACAAACACACACACTGAGTGGTCTGTTAACAACTGCACACTTCAGGCATTTTAATAGCTGAAGATGATTTGTTTAATGTGGCATATCCCCAATGTTACAAAGATGTAGAATGATCTACAGAAGGCATTAAAAAGTGACTATTAATTTCCATGTACCTTGCTCTTTAGAGAGGTTCAGTTAACAAATTTTGGGGGAATCTTGAGTGTATGTATGGCTCATGCACATAAGTATTCTTAACTAACTTCTGTTTTTATTTTTAATCAGATCAAGGTACTTTATCAAATGCACAACTAATCTCTCAGTAGATTTTCATTTGAAAATATTGTGGCCTTGATGAGTGAGAAGGGGAAAAGATTTGGTTTTTGCCTATGTAAAAATGACTCATTTGCTGAGAGTCATAATTCTCTATCTAATATTTTTGTGATAGGTCTCCTTTTGATCAGGAAAAAAATAAAATGTTTTTGTGTTTAAAAAAAACAAGCAAAGAATTAGGATATTTATAGTTATTGGCTCTTAATAATTCTTACTTATTAGACTACAGTGGTTTAGGCATTTCAAGGTAAATAGCAGGCAAATTGCTCAGGGTATCATATGCATGTATGTACATGCACATATGTGTCTGTACATATACACACACACACATATATGTTGCTGAGCTACCCTGATGTATGGTGGATGGTCATACTGAACTAGGAGAAATGATAAGAACTTGGCTATAACCTGAGTGTGCCAGGGCAGGAAGGTAACCTTTTGCACAATCAGTGACTTCTCTCCTCCTCCTACTGTGGCAGGAAGTTCATCATACCCAGAGCCCAGCAATGTTCCTCTGTTGACTTGAGACAAGAATTCTTGTCACTTTGATGACTGAGATCAAGTTGTACCCTTTAACCTGAACCTCTCTTCCATTCTTCATCCCCATGCCCTGGGGAAATCTCATTTTGGCCTTTATATGCCTCTCCTTGTTGAGTTAAAGCATGCCCATGTTAAAGAGCTGTTGTTTCCAGTGTCACTGGTACATTTGCCTTTTCTTTGAAATCCTCTTAAATCCCCAAATTTGCTGCAGTGGACTGGGACGGATAGGCATTAACAGTTCTTTGTCTCCATAGAGGATAATCCAAGCGGAGAAAGGCTTTAAATTTAACAAGAGAAATTGAGATTTTTATATAAGGGAAAATCTCCTGACAAGTATGGATATTAAACACTAGAACAAGACGTCAATGGAGAATGTCGTATCTACACACATCAATGTCTTGAGTAGCTACCATTTGGAGCAGGAAATGGTTTAGATGATGTCTTTAGATTCCTTTTAGCTCTTGGATTCTATGATATGATGAGCATTAACTCTTGGAGGTGGGATGCATGTTCCCTGATAGTTTGAGGATTTGTTTTTTACAGTAGTTTAAAGAATTGACTATAAGGACATATTTCTTTTTCCTTTGAGCAAAATAATGATTCTTTGAAGGTAGCAAACAAAAAAAAAATTTATATATGAAATATCTGGGAAAAAACCTACTGAAGACAACCCACAGTGGGCCGATATCTAGGGTTTCAGAAGAAATTGCTAATCACAGAAGAATCAAATAACAAAAACATTTCTCATAATAGAATTCATTTATTTTCCCCCTTTAAATTTAGTCTCAAGCCATTTCCCACCAATTCTTTTATTTAAGTACATAACTGTTAGTCATTGAAGGTTACTTAGCTATTGAGGTTTAAAATTTTTTTCTTAGATGTTATTGTTGAAAAGAGCTAAAAATGGACTGAGTCATTTCCTTCTGCAGTTGCATGCTTCCTTTATGTGGGATTTTAAGGACACATGATATTTATTTCAGATTGGTTTCATACTTTTTTAAATTTAATGATGAAATCTATTAGTAATGCCATTTATTTACAACTGAAGATCTCATGCTTTGGCTTCCTTTAGGTTACTCCTTAGGTTCAGTTTTATGTGCTCCATTTTCTTCTTCTTCTTTTTTTTTTTTCATTACTTACCAGCAAGATACCACTTACAAAAATTGTACTTCCTGAAGATTCTAATGGTAAAATAAATACTCTTCTTAGTTGTCCTGTCAGCTTAAATATTTTTTGATCTTCATTATCCTATCTCACCCCCAAATGTTATTACATCAGGTAAGTTAGGACTCACCATTGATGCGAGAATACTTTGAAATCTTGTTCTGTTTAAACCCTGCTTCTCCCTGGTGATGTGTTTTTTTCATAGTAGAATAGTGTAATATGGCATTCCAAAAAAGCCAGTGTGATTTTAGACTGCATTAAGAGAGGCAGTGTCTAGATTTTGAAAAAAAAAAACAAAAAAACTTAAAGCTACACAAAAGTGGAACAGCCACTGGCAAATAGTGGAATATTCTCTCTCTAGAGAAGAGGAATCTTCTAGAAAGGACTTGATGAATGAGTTCTAGAAATGATTATTGGTCAGAGACAAGTAGGGCAAAATGGTCTCTAAATTCCTTGAAAATTTTGAGATTCTCAGGCTATTATGCCACCAGCAAATTTGCTAAACATGGCTTATACTTTTTTCTAAGCCATTTATAAAAATATTGAATGGCAGTAGGCCCATGGACGAGATCCCCGAGTCACTTTCCAAGAGACCTTTCAGATTGATGTTAGTCTATTAATTCCTATTGTGTCTGGTAAGTCAGCTAATTTTTTGTTCACCTAATGATATTAACTTTGGTGTCATCAAACTGGTATCTCTCCTTCTTGTCCAGAAGGATAGCATAAGAGACTTTGTAAAATTTTTTGATGAAACCTAAATATGATATGTTGACAGCTTTCCCTGAATGCCTGTCAAAAAAGGAAAAGAAGTTAACCTAACATTACCTCTTCTTGATGATACCATATTGGCGTTTAGTTATTGCTGCTTCCCTTTCTAAACATTTAAAACATCCTTTTAAATAATACGTTCTAGAATTTTTCCAGGAGTAGAAGATAAGTTCCTCCAATAAGTATTCATTGAATGCTTATTATGTACAAGGGCCTGGTAATTAAAAAATTTAATATATGGCTTCTACTCTTGGAGGCTTACCATCTAGTTGTGGAAATAGGACCAGGGATAAATAACAATACAAAGAGTAAGTAACAATACAAAATAACATGTGATATACTCATTCCGTAGATAATAAATGCTTTAAGAGTTTGATGGGTATTAGGGTAGATGTAGAATGTTTCATTGAAAAACTGGGTTTTAAGAATATTCTTATAAAAGGAGTTGAGGACTTATAAAATAAAAATGGATACAGTAAGGGCAGAAATCCCATTTTTGTAGTCACTTGGAGACAGACAAGTAGAAAATATGGTGACAGTGGCATTTGTAGGCTATTAGATGCAAAGAAGACAATAATAAAAGGTATCTTCCATCCTTATATTTCCCCTGTAAATTTTGGACAGATTTCAAATGAGAGTTTTCTTATTTCCTGATCAGTTAATATGATTGGTATGCAAAGTTGGAGGGTTAAATCAAACCGTTAAAAATATAAAATCTAAATAGTTTGAAGAGGTGGTAAGGGGGATGGCAAAACTCAACGTTTTTTAGGCCTCATGTGGAAGTTTTACTGCATTTTTTGTGTTGACTGGCTGAAAAGATTGGTCTTTAATGGTAAGTGATGTTTTCTTCTCTTTGCTCTCCTAACAGAAGACAATATTGAAAATTTTTGTGTTGCCTGCACCCAGCTTCATCAAGCTTTAGAGGAAGGAAGCATGCTTGGAAAGAGATTTAAGAAAAGGAGTGTTCTTCTGAAGACCTTATATAAACTAGTTGATGTTGGTTCAGACTTGCTTAGCCTAAAACTTGCGAAAATTATTCTAGCTGTAAGTTTTTCTTTCTTATGAATTAGTGGGTTGCTTTAAAAAGAGATTCGCTCTCCTGTATATTTACAAGTGCCACAGTGTCAGTTAGAAGTGAATTTGGAGTCCGAAATAAATGGTTACAAGAGTGACTTCTATGGGTAGAGTGGAAATCTAAGGCTGAAGACATCAAAATTTTAAGACAGAACACATGATTAATTACTCATTCTGTAACATTCTGATTAGTATTTTATTCTTATAATATTCTGATGTCTAGTCTGTTCTGATCAGTATCAGATAGTTAGACTCAAAAGAAAGTATTCTGCCTCATGATTTCATCAATGACTTAAGATTTTCTGGTGCAGTAAGAAATAACAGCAACTTTCTTCATGATATAGTTGTAAAATAGAGACAATAGACGTGTGTGAACTTGAAAATGTGAATTCCATTCTGATACTAGGATGGTTTGTAAGTAGAAGGAAAAGACAGGCATCAGGATAAAAACTTTAGATTAAATAAATGATATAAATGACAGAAAGGAACACTATATTCTGAGCATAAACAATTTGATAAAAAGATGACACAGTTATCAGCAAGCACTTTGAAAGAATCATTAAAATAAATGTACAGAATTATATTCACCTATAAGGTAAAAACTTTTATTATTAGGACCCTAAACATTATTTTAACATCTGAGTATATACAGAAAATGATTGTTAATAATCATTAAAATGAATATCAACATATCCCATCCATTTCATCTATTTTTAATTGGAAGCTGCATTACTACATGTTTCTTTAATTTTTGATGCTGTGCTTAATATTCTAATCTAGAATGTATATCAGATTTTAATTTGATGCAAAAGAGATATGTAACATGCAAAAGAAACATTTGTTAACTTCATCATGTTCTCTGTGTTGATGTTTTTGTTATGAAAATGAGAAAAGATGAGGGGAAAGTTCTTAACTTAAAAGGTTAAAAATCATTTTGAATTTTTTTTATCTTTTAATGATAGTTTTCATAAGGCAAAAGTCTGGACTTAATTTTATAGGTAAATTTTAGAGGAATTATATTTTTAATTATTTACTATTTAAAATATTCAACCTTCCTTTGGTTGTATGCTGCCTGGAGTCAGGAAGACTCCTCTCTTCTTGAGTTCAAATCTGGCCTTAGACACTTAATAGCTGTGTAACCCTGGGCAAGTCACTTAACCCTGTTTGTCTCAGTATCCTCATCTGTAAAATGAGCTGGAGAAGGAAATGGTAAACCACTCTAGTATTTTTGTCAAAGAAAATTCCGAATGGGGTCGCGAAGAGTCAGACACAACTGAAAAACAAACGACAAACGAAATGATATTCTATGAAAAAAATATTCTAGAATAGTAGTTCTTAACTTGAAGATCTCTTGAACTTGATTTCTAAAAATATTTTTAAAACTTTATTTCAATATAATTGGTTTCCTTTGTAATCCTACCTGTTTTGTTTTATGCATTTAAAAACATTATTCTAAGAAAGAGGTTCATAGGTTTCACCAAACTGCCTAGGGGGTTCATGGCACACAAAAGGTTAAGAACTCTCATTCTAGAAGATAATGGTTGTAGAATGCTTATAAAAACTGCTTATCTCTCTTAATAATTAGAAAAATAAAATGTAATTAAAAGTCATAATAGTATATCCTGATTAGCTGGAAACAATGTACTTGAACTCCCTAACTAATGGAAATCTTTTCACCTAACAACCCTCTCACTTTAAACTGAAAGTATCAAAAGGTAAGAAAATAAGGTAGAATTAGGAATTTATTTAAAAAAAAAAAGGAAACCCAAAAGTCAAAAAAGCATCTTCCAAGGTGGGCCTAAGGGGCAATATATAATCAATTCAATGTTCATCCTATAGCTTCTACATTGTTTGTTAATTAATTTAAGTCTGCACCAGATATACTATTTGCAATGAAAATTAGGTACCTATTAACGATCCTAAGATACTGAAAAATCCTGAACCATTAAATTACATGTTAAGAAAGCAACATAACACACTTTCAAATGATTTTCAACAAAAGGGATTTTATGATTAACCATCACTTATAATGAGAAAATGCAATGAACTAAAATACCTTATTCCCTGACATTTTAGCCGAGTTTTTTGTTGTTATTGTTGCAGTTCAGTTATTTCTATTACTTTAGTTAGCATATAGAACTAAGCTGAACTGAGCTAAACCAAACTTAGAAGCATTAGTTTGTATTTTAACTAACTATATAGGCCTCTGAAGAGACAAGATACGTCCCTTCTAGATGGGGTTCCTCCTCTGTAAATGAAAAAAAAACATTAGCCCCCAGTCAAAAGGGCAGCTAGATGGCATAGTGGATAGACTGCTGGTCTTAGAGTCAGGAATGCTCATCTTCCTGAGTTCATATCTGGCCTCAGACACTTAACTATCTGTGTGACCCTGGGCAAGTCAGTTAACCCTGTTTGCCTCAGTTTCCTCATTTGCAAAATGAGCTGGAGAAGGAAATGGTAAACCACTCCAGCCCAGGAAACCCGAAATGAGATCATGAAGCATCAGACATGAATGAAAGACTGAGCAACCACAAACCTTAATATAAGTTAATAATATGCCAAGAAAGTTAATTTTTTTTTTTGGCAGATGTGTGGGAAGTGTTTGGCCTGTGATTTTCATCAGTATGGAAAATTCCTGGTATGGAAACTATATTCACTGATACAGATTTGCAATTAACCAAGCCTTTGGGAAGTTAAGTGATTTGCCTGTGGCCACATATGTAGTATATGTCAAAGCAGAACTTGAATCCAGGCCTTCTTGACTCCTAAGGCCTGCCCTCTCAGTGCTCTGTGCCGTATTGCCTCTTAATCAGCCTGTATTTACTAAATTCCTACTATGGACCAGGGGGCTAATTAATGGAATCATGTCTTTAATGTGTCATATCTATTCTGCACTAACTAGACCACCTTCAGAGCAGTGTTCAGTTTTGGGTATCACATTTTAAGAGTGACATTGGCAATCTGGAGTCTCTCTTGGGTACAGGGGAGTGGAGGATCTGAACACGTCATAAAGAAACTAGGGATGCTTGGTCTTGAGAGAAGACTTAAGAGTAGAAGGTAGAGAATGGGAGGGTCATCTTCAAGTATTTATAGGTCTGTCACATGGAAGAGACCCAGAATCTTGGAAAGGTCACCAAAAGTCATCTATCAGAATGTACATGAACCCTGACCCCTTTCTGCTGCTCCCCTAATAATCTCAGCCATCTTCAGCTTGAAGATCTCCAGTGGCAGGGAGGGAATTCTTTCCCTCTCAAGGCAACCCATTTCATTGACTTGGATAGCTGTCATTGTTAAGGAGTCTTCTCCCCTACTGAGCCAAAAATAACCTCCTAATTTCCACTGGGGAGTCCTAATTCTGTCCTGTGAGGCCAAACAGAAGGGATCTAATTGCTTTTATATATGGAAACCTTTCAGTTATTTGATAGCAGTGATCATACATCCCCTTAAGTCTTATCCCTTCTTCCTTCAGCTGATGTTCATGTGACATGGTTTTGAGTTGCCTTGCCATTGTCATCATCCCTTATCTGGATGTGCTCAACCCTCTAAGTGTTTTTCTTAAAATACCACTCTCCCACAACAGATTCAAGTTATCTTGTGTGGTTCCAGTAGGCAGAAGTTACAGAGAAGTTGGATTTGGAGTTAGTGTAAAGAACTTTTCAACAATTTGGACTGTCTAAAAAAAAAAAAAAGAAATTGGGTGCTTTGTGATATTGTAGATGATAGATTTAGAACTGGAAAGGAACCTGGAGGTCATCCAGTCCTTCATTTTGAGGAAAAATAGCCCTGGCAAGTGATTGACTTGTTACAGATAGTTAGTACAAGGTTACATAGATAGTTAGTATAAGGTTACTTAGATAGAGTCAAAGTCACGATTCAAACGTAAGATCCTCTGAATCTGAAACCATTATTATTTCTGCTGTACCATAGAAGGAGACCTGTCTTTATTTATTTATTTATTTGGCTAGGCAATGGGGTTAAGTGACTTGCCCAGGGTCACACAGCTAGTGAGTGTTTTGTGTCTCAGGCTGGATTTGAACTCAGGTCCTCCTGAATCCAGGGCTAGTGCTCTATCCACTGTGACCTAGCTGCCCCTAAGGAGATCTGTCTTTCAAGAGCTTGCAGGTGTGGAGAACCTGTGGCCATGTGGTCCTCAAGTGTGGCCTTTTATTCCGTCAAAGGGCTGCACTTGAGAACCTAAATGGCCACATGTGGCTTTGAGGCTGCAGGTTCCCCACCCCTGGCTTAGACTAATTCACTTAGATGGTTATGGATACTTGTGCATTGGGGAGTGGGGTTTAGATTATATATGGTATCTAAGAGTTTCTTCTTCCTCGAAAATCATCATCCCTCTGTTTATCAAAATTGCCTCTTAGAATTTTGAAGTATGGCTGATTCATTTTAGAACTCTCAATTTCAACTTTAAAAATGACTTTTCCAGCACTGTTTTTAATAGTTGTTTCTCTATTGTTTTTCTTTAAAAGTAAAACGTTTTAATTTTCCGACCAAAATAGAAGTGTAAAAATTTTTTTTCTTTTGCAGCTTAAAGTAAGTGGAAAGAATCTTCTCAATGTCTGTAAACTCATATTTAAAATTAGCAGGAGTGAGAAGAATGATTCTCTCATCCAAAACGATAGTATTCTTGGTAAGTGTCATTCAGTGTTACCATTTGTCATATACTTTTTTTTTTTAACTAAGTGTTGAACTTCTTTTGGGGGAAAAGGGAGAGAGTTATGATTAGTGGTTGCTAGAATGAAGCAGATATATAACACGTATTATTTGCTTTGTCTTCTACTTGTTCACATTCAACTTTAAATTTTCCTTGCTTAATTCTTCTCAGAGGGCACTACAGCATTTAGGTGCTTATAGGAACTATTTGGGATCATGGAAATGTATGTATTTGTAAACATTCATTTAAAAAAAACTTTATTAGTTTACTTTGAGAGTAGTTTACTTTTTAGACCATGAGTCCTTGAATCTTAAATCTTTTATATCATACCAGAAATGATAGAAAAATAGATGGTAGCGTGAATAGGTTAAAAAACAGTTATGGAACCTCTTAGTTTCTGAGTGTATTTCACTGTATTTTTGGTAGACATGGAGAAAGCGACCAAAAGTTTATTTATTATCTGCTTTAAAAATCTCTTTGGAGCAATTACAGAAAAGAAAATTCTTAAGGTGATGCCCCCTTCCCAAGTAATTGAGTTGCAGCTTTTGTGGTCATTATATGAATTGGGTTAATGTAAACTATGTTGGAACAACACAAGAAAATGGAAAACAATTTGAAGGTCTCTTTTGAAAAGAGGAGAAAGTATATCATTTCCCCATCAGTGGACAAATAAAAATAAGAAATAGCTAACCTTTAATTAATTGAGAATGTGGGGACAGAAAGGGTAGAACAGTTAAAAGTGACTCTAAACAAAATATGAAATTAGAAGTTATTTTATTGTGGGCTTTGTTTCCAAAAATCTAGTTTTCTACAGTTACAGGATCGTAGAGGGAGAGCTGGAAGGGACTTTAGTGGGGACCTACTCCAGTCCTCTGATTTTCTAGCAATTTGTCCAAGCCCTCACAGGCAAGATGTCACAGAGCTAGGATTCAGACCCGTCTGTGCTCTTTCCAGACCCCCCCTTGTATCACTGGGCCTGTATTCAAGGCGTTGCCAGCTTTGGCAGGAAGGACCTGCCTAGTTTTGGAGAACACAGGACCACCTCTATTCCGTGATGAAGAATTGGTAGATGGACTGAAGCTCTAACCCAATACATTATTGCTTTTTTTAAAAGTGTCTTTTCATCACCTTGTCCCTTGGCTAGACTTACCTATTTTTGCTTTAACCTCTCTTTGCCTTGCCCTTCTTGGATCATAAGCCACTCAGTTTACTACATGACCAAGGTCATTCTTTTCCCAGATGCCCTCCTGACTTTAGCTCAGCTGAGGATTGATCTATTCCCTTTGGCAATGACTTTAGGAACTTGAGGTTGGCTTTTGGAAGCCAGGATCCTCACCCAGTTATTCAAAGCGGTGAACCCCAATATTCCTTACCCCAGGGAGATCTCTGAAATCTTTTAAGTTATCTAGATCTGGACTTCTTTGGGGAGAGACTGGAGTGGAAGAGCATTTTCAGACACCCAGAATTTAGAAAGGAGTGGTGCAGGCTCACAATTGTAATAACTGACCCTACCATACTATTCTTTCTTAATATCTCCTATCATGTTCCTGGCTTTTGCTGCCTTGAATTAGGAGCAAGGTTCTACTTGCTTTAATCCACAATTCCAGGAAGTCTTCATCTATTTTGAAATCCTTTTGTCTCCTCAATCAACAAGCCTTTATTAAGCACCCACTAGGTGGCAGGTGCTGTTCTAGGTATTAGAGATAGAAAAACAATAAAACAGCCTCTGCCTTTAAGAAACCTAGGCTGTTGGAGGAAACAAAATAGTACAATATCCATTCAAAAGAAATAGTTCAAAGCATTTGCAAAAGAAATGCAAGGTCATTTTGGTGGGGGAGAGGGTGGCATTGGAGGGGCCTCATGTCTTAAATGATGTTTCTTTCTTTAGATCTTGGGTCTGTGGTTGAAGAAATTCTTTTTTTGTTTTTGTTTTTGTTTTTTTGCAAGGCAGTTGGGGTTAAGTGACTTGCTCAGGGTCACACAGCTAGTAAGTGTCAAGTGTCTGGTCTGAGACCAGATTTGAACTCAGGTCCTCTTGACTCCAGGGCCAGTACTCTATCCACTGCACCACCTAGCTGCCCCAGAAATTTTGTTCTTAGATTTGGGTTCCAACAGTGGCCCCCAGTTTGCCTTCTATGGCTAGTTGAGGACTAAGAGGCAGTTGAAGATTTTCTTTTCATAGAATTAATATCTTCTCAACGTATCCTTTGTGCATGTCAGGGCTCACCTTGTTGAGCAGTGCACATTTGCTCATGGTCCAAAGAGATTTTTCCCTGCATTTAAAGCTAGACCTGACCAAATGCAAATAGGATTTGACTTACCATTTGTCAAATGCTGCTCCTAAGTAATTCTTATTCATTCATCTGAATGAGTAACAGTATAAAATCCTGGTACCTAATTCTGAAAAATTGTCCAAATCCTCCTTCCATTTTTGTAGTTATCAGTCTGTTTTTCTTCTTCTTTTTTGTGAGGCAGTCAGGGTTAAGTGACTTGCTCAGAGTCACACAGCTAGTGAGTATCAGGTGTCTGAGGCTGGATTTGAACTCAGGTCCTCTTGACTCCAGGGCCAGAGTTCTATCTACCACCTAGCTGCCCCGCTGTTCTTCTTGACTAAGGTTTTGTGCCTCCAAGTATTTCTGCTCAGTAACAAATAGATTTTTTAAAGGAGGGATTGAAATATAATTCTAAAATTCCCTTTGATGTCTGTTATTCTTTATAACCCCAAACTTCTATAACTGAATGAATTTTGGACAGAAATCAATAAGAATGTCATTTAATAACCCCTTTTTAAAATACATGGGTTAATGGGGTCAGCTTTTTTCCCAGTCAGGTTACTAGCTTGAAATAGGTTTAGTTGGGCAGGTAGAAATAGATTTTCTCTTTGCACTGTGTGATTAACACTGTTAAAGAGTATTTTGCTTGTGGACTCTGACTCGTCACTAATAAGTTTATTCTTAGTATGCATATGCAAAAGTACATCCATGTGCTTCAAAGTTGTTATATTTTTTCAGAATTTGGAATATGTTAAGACAAATTTGAATAACACAAAATGAAACATATTCCTTCTAATTAGACCTCTTTTCTCCAGATTCATTGTTGGAGGTGCTACGAGTAGAAGACCTTCACACTAATAATGAGGCTTTTTTGTACTGCATGGGGGCTATTAAATTCATTTCTGGGAATCCAAGATTTCTTAATGAAATGATCAGCAAAGGTGTTGTTGAAATACTGCTACATTTGATGAAGCAGATAAATGAGAACATGGGGAAATCTGGGGCGTGTTCCTCCAACTCAGGACACTTGTTAGTCCAGGTAAGTGTTTTAACTTCTAAAACAGGAACAGTAAACATGTGTCTGTGTGTGTGTGTGTATACCTATATAATTATTACATTAAATATATTATTAAAACAATAGTTTTTATTAATTGTTAATTTAAAAATATAACTTTTTCAACTCCATGGTAGTTACTAGAGGACTCCATCCAATTCCAGGCTTCTCTTCTTTGTTTTAGAGAGTGTTTGTTTTAATGTTTAATAAACAATTATTTAGGTTGGGAGTTCCCAATGGTAAAACAGTCTGAACTTTATAGGTGACCAGCCAATAACCATCTTCCTCCTGGGCACAACCTGACACATATACTCTTTCTTTCTTCTTTTTTTCTTTTGGCTGAGGTAATTAGGGTTAAGTGACTTGCCCAGGGTCACACAGCTAGTAAGTGTCAAGTGTCTGAAGGCAGATTTGAATTCTGGTCCTCCTGAGTCCAAGGCTGGAGCTCTATCCACTGTGTCACCTAACTCTTTCTTACAATACTGTACAATACTATAAAAATCAATAAGGGAGTTTCTTGTCTCTTCAGACTATGACCATGGGACCATAGCCTATCTCCATATTCCCTTCCCATTTCTTAGGCATTTTCTCAATTAGATCATATCCTTATTTAATCATGTAGTGTACAAAATAATTTACTACCATGTAGAAGAAATCTGAAAGTATGTATGAATTCTGTAATGTTTATTAAGCCCCTGCCACTATATGCCACTATGTGCTTGGAAATGCAGAGGCAAAAATGAAAAATTCCCCTCCTTCAAGGAGCCCACATTTAATTGGACAAAATAACATATACCCAATAAATAAGAGTAATACATATATATACGCACATACATATACATACACACATACACACTCACATTGCTTGGAGTCTTGAAATTCCTACAAAAAATTGAAACTGAATGCTATGTGATTATGATGACCAATCATGGCCTTGGAGAAGAGATAAGAAAATGCATCTCCTACCTTCTTTGCTGAGGTGGATGACTGTGGTTGTGAAATATCGCATGTATTATCAGATTTTACTGAGTTTTTAGTTTTGCTGAACTATTCTTTTTCCCATGTCTTAATTTTTTATTACTAGGAATTATTTTGGGTAGGATAGCACTAGTTAAAAACACAAAAGTAGATCAGTAGAAAAGACTATTTAAGTCTTTAAAAAAAACAGTAATATAGGGCTTGATAAAATTAAGAATATAAATTATTGGGAAAATGGCTGCTAGGAAAACTAGAAAGCATTGTGGCAGAAATCAAGTTTAGATCACCATCTTAAACCATATATGTGTGTTATGTATATGTATACATATATATATATATACACACACACATACATATATATACACACACACACACATATATATCTATATATATATAGATATATAGATATATGTATATGTAAGAAAAAGAACCAAAGGTAAAAGATCATACCATGAAAATTTTGAGATAAGATCAAGTACTTTTCCTAACAATACTAGAATTCTTAACCAAACAGAGGCTGGAGATCATTAACAACTTTGACAATGTAGAATTAGAAAGCTTTTTCATGATTAAAATTGCTAAAGACAGAATTAAAAGAAAACTAGTGGAGTAAAAAAATATTTGCATCAAATATCAGCAGAAGTTGTTATTCAAAATATGCAGGTTACTGATGAAAACCTGTAACAGTAGGAGCCTTTCCCAAATAAGTAACTGGTTAAAGGATATAAAAAGTTTTCAAAAGAAGATTAGCAAGCTATAAATGGCCACGTGAAAACATGCTCCAAATCACTAACAGTAAGTGTAATTTCAATTAAAACAACCCTAATGTTTTTAATTTACTCCATGGAAACTGTCAAAGATGGGGAAAAAGATAGATATAGTCAGTGATGGAGGAGCTGTATAGAAAGGCAGGAACACTGATGCCCTCTTGGTGGAACCACGAAGTAGTCCTGTTGTTATGAATTTCAGTTTGGAATTGTGGAAGAAAGATGACTAATCTGCCCATACCCTTGGACCTAACAATCCCACTACTGGAATATACCCTAAAATAGTCAAAAGCAGAAATTGAGGTCCAATATGTACAGCAATATTAATAGTAAAATGGGAAATGACCGAAAAAAGACTATGGTGTATGATTGTATATAATGCAGTAAGAAATGTTGACTATGAAGAAATGAAAGAAACATGAGAACATTTGTGTGAATTGATATATATTGATATAAGCAGAACTGAGAGAGTAATAACACACAATGAAAACAATAGTGTAAATGAAAAGATCACAAAAAGGAAATTGAACTCTTAAGAAATTGGGTAAAAAAAAGTCTCAGAGAAGAACAAAATGAAACCACACTTATTCCTCATGGCAGAGAGATAGAGGGCTACTAGGAGGAATATTGTATAAATTGTTAGTCTCTTCAGATATTTTTTGCTTAATTTTTTTCTTTGTTATTGCAAAGGAAGATTCATTCTTGAATGAAGGTAGGGGTGGGGGGAATTGACTGTGATATAATGACAAAAAGCTTCAACAAATTGTGTTTGTTGTTTTTTTTTTTTAAATAGATTAATCTAGGTAAACTCTATCTACAGGATTTACCTAATCTACCTGCCTAGTAATCCTGTCAGAAAAGGAAATGTTAATCTAGCAAAGCCTGTTGTTGATGAAGACATACCGAATCTTGTAGATTACTGCTTCCTTCCTTTATGTTAACTAACCATTCAATAATACATTTTAGAATTTTGCCGGGAACAAAAGTCATCGCATTCACTGGCTTACAAGTTTTTGGGCTGGGTAATTTATTTTTTAAATGTGTGTTGCCTTTCTCCAGTGCTGTAGTATATCATTGTACATAATCCTTAAAAGACTATTGACAGTAGTTCAGGAGTCATATCTGCCAGTTTTTTAGTCCCTGATAAGAGTTTATATGGACCTGGTGGTGACTTGAACTCATCCAGGGCAGGTAGGAAAACATCTTATCCATCTCTAGCTGCAGTCCTGTCTCTGAGTCTCTTCTTTTCCCCAGTGTGACTACAACCCCCCCTTATTATTATTATTAATTTTTTGAGGTTTCTTTGTCAGCCTGATCTCATCTTGAGCTTTTATCCTCCTGACACTATTCTCATAGAACTATGCTGGAATTTCTTATCTTGCCTGTTTCCTGGCCTTGTTTCCCTTGCCTTTACATATCGGCTGAAGTTGGTTGGTGATTTTCCTGTGTATCCACAGCAGTCTCTTTTCACAATGCTTTTTTTTCCTTCTTGCCACAGTTGTTTCTTGAAGATTTTCTCTTCTTTCCTGGGTTGCCCTCTTTAGAATTTTAGGCCATGGGATTCTGCCCATCCTTGAACCTTTTGAAGTCTCTTTTCCACAAAACTAAAGTGTATGTCAGACCATGCCTAATTTTATTTCCCCCTTCTCTATTATCAGTTCTGAGATGGGGCAGTTATTTTCACCCTAGCAAGATCAGATACAAAATAGAAGTTCTCGTTTCCTTCACCTTTTGAAGCTAACTCATCCTTAGGTCCAACACAGACAGTATTAACTCTTCTGTTTTTGTCTTTGAGGAAGATTTCAGCTGATACCTAGATAATTGAAATCTCCTGCCCTCTACCCAATGGGCAGCTAGGTGGTACAGTGGTACAGTGAATAGAGTGTTGGGCCTGGAGTCAGGAAGATCTGTGTTTCAAATGTGGCCTCAGACACTTCCTAGCTGTGTGACCTTGGGCAAGTCATTTAACTCTGTTTGCCTCAGTTTCCTCATCTGTAAAATGAGCTAGATAAGGAAATGGCAAACCATTCCAGTACCTTTGCCAAGAAAACCCCAAAAGAGGTTGTGAAGAGTTGGACACAACTGAAAACAACAAGCAACAAAGCTCTGCTCTACCATGAGTCTGTGCCAGGCTTCTGGTGTGTTTTCCCCTTTCTAACCAGGTGGTCTTTAGTATATTCCAATGACTGATTCTGTTGATCTGTGCCACATGCATGGTACCATGATTCCATGAGTTTAGTTGTCTTAATATACAATGCTATTCTACCCCTCTTTTTACCTTTCCTGCTTCTATTGAATAAGGTATGTCTTCTTCAAGTTATATTCCAGCCATAGTTTCCATCCTGCTGAGTTTTAGGAATAACTTTGAGGTCAAATTTGCATCTTTCCAGTAGAACCTCTAGTTCCACTTGATTGTTATCCACATATAGTGAATTTTTACATGAGTCTCTGAGCCTTAAGTTTTTAATTGTTGGCTTCTTTCTTGGATTTTGCCTCCTTTTAACATCAGAGTATCCCTATCACCTCCCACATTTTCCTGCTACATGTAACTACTCTATATAACTAGCCTCGGGGTGGGGAACCTGCAGCCTCGAGGCCATCTGTGGCTTTCCAAGCCCTTGGGTGCAGCCTTTTGACTGAGTTCCAAGTTTTTACAGAACAGATCCTTTTATTAAAGGGATCTGTTCTGTGAAGTTTGGATTCAGTCAAAGGGCTGCACTTGAGGACCTAGAGGGCCACATGTGGCCTCAAGGCCACAGGTTCCCCACCCCTGATACACACACACACACACACACACACACACACACAATTTTTCTCCCTCCCCCTTCCTTTTCTATTTAAAACTTTTTTGATTAGATTTGCAGCATTACAGTCTTCTAAAGTCTCAGCAGATGGACCTTTGGCCTGCCCCTGGATGACTTTTCATTTGTGCTCTAACTGGAAGCCATTTGATTTGAACTAAAGTAGACCCTAAAAATAACAAGTTCTATGTTTTTGAAAGACTTTGTTTTACTCACTTAGAGTAAAAGTGAATTTAACTAACTTTATTTTATTCCTTTAGAATTAGAGAAAGAAATGATAGTTCTTTCTCAGCATCGTTGGAAGTTCTGTTGACCAGTATGGTTGCTAAGTTTATAAGGCTATATTCATTTAACAACAGATACTTACCAAGCACGATATTACATGTGTATAAGGTATTCTTTCGGGTTAAATGTTAAAATATAACATCTGAATGTGAGT